GGGGGGCGGGGGGGATAAGGATTAAACCTTCCAGTTCACATTTTTAGTTAGTTTTTTCATTCTTGATTTTGTAAGAGTTAGACGAGGTATTTTCAGTCTAAGTCCTAAGTTCTCAAACTTATTTGGCAAGTTGCTTTTTTCAGGGAGAAAACAATTACTCAGTGCTTTCCCCTGGCAATTATGAACTTTTGTACTATAACCCATAATCCAAAATAAAGTGTAGGTATTTCCTTTCCGGTGTCCCTCCACGCTGGCCCCCCAGGGCAGTATCTCCCACTTTGGGAAACACTAACTCTCAGCATGAGACACTGGGCCAGAAAACTCTTGGTTGTGGGTGGCTTCCCTGTGCATTATAGCATGTTTCTTAGTACCCCTAGTCTCTAGTAGCTTGATGCTGGTAGGACTACCACTACCTCTCCCACTGTGACAACCAAAACTGTCTCTAGAAAATGTCAAATGACTCCTGGTAGCAAAACTACCCTCAGTTGAAGTCTAGGCTCTGAAGCTGTTTCTGTTTGGCAAAATCAAAGGATATCGGGTTTATTTAGAAAAATAAACAGGGCCATAGAAGAATTTAACTTTAAGTCCTGGTTTTCCTACAATGAAGGTAAAGAACAAAAATGTCACCCAGGTTTCCTTGGGATTACCATAATATGAAGACACAACTCCTCCAGGGGCACCCGTAAGATTTCAGGGACAGAATAGTCCATAAAGCCTTCAAATCTGAAAAGTAATATAGAGTAACATTAAGTACTTCGCATACTGTCAGAAATGATCTGGGAGTGTCTTAAACTGCCAGTGCGATGCCTCACCTTTCTCTGGTGTACATTCGGAAGCAGAAGCCGTCTCGGACTCGCCCGGCCCTGCCCTGGCGCTGCAGAGCGCTAGCTTTACTGACAAACGTCTCAACCAAGGAACTCATCTGACTGCTTTCGTGGAATCTACAGAAGAGTATGTAGATAACTGAGTTAAACCCAACTCTGAAAAGTCTAGACATATTTCATTCTTAAAATTAAATGGAACACAATAGTGTCTGACACCAGTATTGTCTTGCAGGTCAACCCTGGAATATGAAGCGTTCAAGTTTCACAAAACTGCATTTACCACCATCTGTTGTTTGGGGTGCATCTTACTGCTAATAATATGCACTATAAACAGGGTTGCAGTGTGTAATTTGCTAATGGTATCATTCCCAGATGTTCACCTGTATGATTTATTGCTCAAAGCACTGCCCTATAGAATTAGTTTTCAAAGCTAAGTCGGGGCTTCAGTTGCTTACAAAGATGGATCCAAACATGGATCATTTCCCTGAAGTCACTGACAGGCAGATTCAGGAAGCAATCATGTGCCACCCCATGAAATATGTGACGAGGAAAAAAGAAAAGGACCAGACAGACAACTCTGACCAATTTCCTGACCAGAACCACCATCCTCATTCCTACGGATGATACGGACAACATAGAACCTTCCGCACGGGAGTCATTACCACAACTGGCAAAACACCAATATTGTCCAGTCATTTTTGGAGTACATTTTTATGAATTGTGTATTTCTTATGTACTAAAATATATCTGTAAGCTTATGTGTGATGTTCTAATCCCCAAGTACAAATAAAGATGTGATTTACTGAGACATAATAAAAGGCAATAATAATGAAAACTTAAATATACAGAAAACATATTTACACTATCTGTATATGAGACAAAAGTTTATTAGTGGTTACCAGGGGCCAGGCTGAGGACAGAATAGGAGTCAGAGCTGAATCAAAGCTTATTTGGGGAGACAATGGGGTGATAAGACTCTTACAAGCAGATAGAAGCGATAATAGCACAATACTGTCAGTAATGTGACTGGATTGTATTTTTAAATTTTAATGTAAAAATGCATAAGTCAAATTTTGTTATATTTTACAATAATTTTTTTTAAGGCACAGAATATTACATTGAACACAGGTGATAAGAGGTAATTATTGTGGACCAAAATTCCCCAAACTATGTTCCATACTCAAATAACGTAGCAAACATTATAAACTAAATTTCCTACAATCAACTTCGAAGCTCTGCAAAGTTCCACAAGAAGCCTCTTTACAGCAGTCAGTGTGAGATGTGAAAATAATAATAATTTATAATCTATCAAGGGGTCACAAGGCTGGGAGGTGAAAAAGAGGAGCTGATACCAAGGGCTCAATAGAAAGTAGTTGTCTAGAAAAGAATGATGGCAATATATGTACAAATATGCCTGATACAATTGATGTATGGATTGTAATAAGAGCTGGAAGAGCCCCCAATCAAGTGATCTTTTAATTAAAAAAAAAAAGAAGCCTCTTATCACTTCTCAAGCTAACTTGACCATGGAGCCGTTTTGATTTTGTGGAGCACCTATGAGTCATGCACCAGATTCTTTGATGGTGATTATAACAATTCAATCGACCTAGCATGAGATTCAGTACTTAAACATTTTTATCCCAACAAAATACCACTCCACTAATTCTAGTCATTCATCAAAAGCAGCAATCCAAAGAATCAAGGGTTCATTTCCCACAGGATATCTTTCCCAGATATTGCTAAAATTTCTAGTTACTAGAGGTATTGTATATGGATTAGAATACATTATTATATAATATGCAATATAAATATTAAATGCTTATAAAATAGTAATCACTTTGTTGAAGACTGAGCAGCAGGGTTACCTACTATGCGCCAATTACTGTGGAGGACAGTTTCATTTTCCCAATTTACATACTGAGTAGTGGTTATAATACTTGCTCAAGATTACAGAGCAGATTTAGATCTGACTTGATAAAACTCATTCTTTTTCCTCTGCAATACTTAATGCTTTTATTAAACAATTTTTTAGCAAACTGAATTTATGTTCTTTTACTGGATTTTTTTCTCTCTCAGATATTTCTTTTCCAAAAATAGGAGTATATTGGCATTATTTGGGGGAAAGTCCATGGCAAAATTCTGTCATTTAACCCTCACATTAAAAATTTCTCCCAGGGACTAATCAAAGATAATATTAAAGGAAGAGCATGACGCTCCAGGGTGATGCTTCTTAAGACTCTACCATAAATTAACAGGGAGGTTTTAAAAGTGTGGCAGTTACATAATCTCCTGTCAACTTGAGCAAAGGGGTAGAGTCTAGCCTGTCAATCAGGTCATAGCCTATCATGCCTCTGTGGGCATGGCATTCTCCGCAGGATTCTGGAAGCTCCTGTGTCTTCCTCCCTGGAGGCAGGACATACTCTCTTTGCTTGACATTCCTGATGACAAGCCACAGGGAGCTACACTGATGGAGCCAGAACCCTGGAACTGGAGGAGTCACGTGGAGACCCAAGCCAGTGCTGGATGCTTCCACTGCCACTGGATCCACAAGACTTTGGGCTGTGATCTTACTGCATTCACATGTGTTGCGTGTGTCTAAAGAGGAACTTGTGGACTAGCATCGGACATATGGGCTAATATTAGGCTTATGGACTTGATCTGGACTGGGATGTTTGCTCAATATACAGTTACTCTTTGATATGTTTTCTCTTACACATATATGAGTGTCGATGAATTTGTTTCTCTAATCTACTTGGACTAACAGAAAGGGAGTCAAAGGCAGATAAAAAAACAGACAACAAAACAGACACAGACTCAGGACAGTCCTAGCTTCAAATTAAAAACAGTTCTTACATCATGATAAGAAGTGCTTGATACTCGTCCTCAGTAAGTTTGCAGGTTATGGATGACAGTGGGAGCCCAAGATGCATTTGTGGGAGCTACACAGAAATTAAGCCTCTGGTAAACTCCCTCTATCTACAATTGAGGATTGGGAGGAAAGTGATTACAAAACAGAGTGCACTGGAGAGATGAGTACAGAAGATCAGTGGCATAAATCTGGCTTGACCATTAAATACTCTATCAGTTGATCCCCCTCTGATGCAGACTGGACCTGCTCTGGTTTTCAGCATGCTCTGCATTTTTGTGTTTGTTTGTTTTTATTAGGGTGGATCTCAGAGGTGTTATGTCATTGGGAGTCACCCCCTTGAAGTTCTGTTATATATTTTTCTGTTTTTAGGTATATGAAACTCAGGATTGATGAACCTATAGGGACAGCAAGTAAAATAAGGTATTTTGGGGGGGTGGGGAGGAGAAAAGGGCAGTGTACAGTGGTGGTGGTAGTTGGGGAGGGGGCAGTAAAAGGAGATGATGTCAAAGAGTCCAGAAAGAAAAAGACTGTTTAAAATCTGTGATAGCAATTGTACAGTCCTTCTTGAGGTGACTGAACTATGGAATGATATACTGATATATGTATTAACTCCCAATTAATAAATTATATAAAAGTTTTTTCATTGTTTCTCTGAAGGTTTTTCTTTTCGATAGGATTATATTTGATTGCAACTCAATGTAAAAGAACCAAAATCTTCACAACTGGACTAATAGACAATATCAAGATAAGTGATGAAAAGATTGATGTTGTCAAGGATTTACAATACTCATGGAAGCAGCACTCCAAAAAAATCAGACAACACATTGCACAGGAGAACTGCTGTCTAAGACCTGTCTGAAACGTCCGAGAGCAAGGCTATCACTTGGAGGACTACGGTGTGCCTGGTCCAAGACACGGTGTTTTCAGTCGCCTCGTGCATGTGAGTGTTGGACACCGAAAGAAAGGATGACCGAACAATCAATGCAATTGAATTATGGTGCTGGTGAAGAATATTGAAAATACCGTGGAGTTCCAGAAGAATAAAGAAATCTGTCTTGGAAGAAGTACAGCCAGAATGCTCCTTAAAAGCAGGCTGGTGAGACTTTGTCACACATACTTTGGACTTACTATCAGGAGCAATCAGTCGCAGGAAAAGGACATCATGCTGATAAAGGGGCACTGAAAAGGAGGCAGACCGTCAAGGAGATGGACTGACACAGTGGCGGCACCAATGGGCGCAAACATATAATTTTGTAGATGGCACAGGACTGGGTGGTGTTTCTTTTCTACACAAGGTTGCTATGGGTCAGAACGAATTTGATGGCACCTAACAGTAACAACAACATGCTATCTGGGATTTTCTGTACACGAGTCTGTGATTTACCCGAGCAATTTATCCAAGCCCTTTGTAGGTTAAAAGCTCACACTTACTTATTTTCTTTTGTCCTTCCAGTATCAATTACAAATACAACATCCGGAATGGTGATGCCCGTCTCTGCAATATTTGTTGCTAAAACAATCTGAAAATGAAATCCAAAGCATTCAGGTAACTTTCAGCAAATGACTTAAGTTAAGCTTCATTACATAGTTTGAGTACATGAGCTTAAAAAAGTGCATTTCCACTTAAACCCCCGACATTAGGTCCTCATTTTTCCCCTCCCTCCCCGCTCCCCCTCCATCATGTGCCCTTGATAGTTTATAAATTGGAGAGAAAATGTTTTGAGAATGATGTACAAATGCGCTTTACACAATTGATGTGTGTATGGATTGCGATAACAGTTGTATGAGCCCCTAATAAAATGTTTAAAAAACAACAAAAATAAATAAATAAATATGAGGGTTAAAAAAAAAAGTGTATTTCAATTTTAGCTACAAAGATTACAACTAATTTGTTATTACTGGATCATTTTAATTTACTCTAATTCGCTTGGCTTGCAGGAAACGATTTTAATAAAATTATCATTTTTAATTGTAAATATTTAATGGCAGAGTAGAATGGAAACGGGTAAAAGAATGAAAACAACTTTTAACAATTATAAGAGAAAACGGCATATCAGATAGTGAGCACTGGGTTTCTCTTTTGGTGTTGCTAGTTTTGGAACCTGGGACAAGTCACTTTACCTCAGTTACTTCAACTGTAAACAAGGAGGTAAAAATAGATGATTTCTGGGGTCCCTTACTGAATTTTTAATGATCATGGCTAAATTGTGCAATCTTCTAAACCACTAAGGGAATTCTAGCCCAAATTCACTACGCATTGCTCTATCTTAACTGTATATTTTAATATTGAATGCTTGCTTTTCTTATTTGTTTACTCTAGGAAATAGAAAAACAGAAGCCAGGTCACTAAGAGCTGGATGGGACTCATGAGATTCATTCTACTTCAGTAACTCCCCCACTTGCGCTTGTTAAAAGATGTGACTCTTCAACAGGAAGCGCAAATGTTACAGTTCAGAACACAGCATCAGGACAGGGGTCCTCAGAGCCAATCGAAAGGCATCTTTTCTAGAAGCTCTGTATTCCCCACAGTACCTTCCTACACTGTTATTTCTTATTCTGAGAAAGAATTCAAATCTAAACACCTGCCTTTGTCAAGTATCTCTGTTTGGAGTCTTCAACAGGGGAGACGATCAAAACACTGAGAGTCCCCCCCCCGCCTCCACCCCCAATCACATGATTCATGTATTGTAAAACGAATCAAGATGAAGAGCCTAGAAAGAATCCTTTCAGGAAATAACTCTGAATTCATGCAACATTCTGGAAAAAAGGAGTGGCTTTCTTTTCACAAGCAACACTCATGCCTAATCTTTCAAATACTAACTTTCCTAAAGGCTTGTCCCTTTCATAGACATAAATATTAATACTCTTGAATTTTAATTTTGGGTTCATGGTATACTAAGCTGCAGATCACACAAGCTGGAGTGCACTTTAAGGTTCTTAATAACAACAGTCTATGACGATAAAACGGGGCCCGAATGGTGCAGGGGGTTATGTAGTACTGAATTGCTACCCACAGAGTCAGCAGTTGGAACCAACCAGCCGCTCTGCGGAAGCGAGATGAGGTTTTCTGCTCCCACAATGACTTATAGCTTCTGAACCCCAAGGGGTAGCTCTACTCTGCCTTACAGCACCGTGAAGGGGCAGAACCGACTCATCTGGGAGTGAGTAGAGTCTGAGTTGAGGATGCTCAAAAGTCATAGCTCTTAGACATGATGCCGTGTTAGGTAGGTCCACATCAATGTATTGCACTAAAGTTTACCTTCCTGACGCCTGGAGGAGGGAATGTGAATGCTGCGGCTTGATCTTGAGTTGAAAGAATAGAATGCAGAGCTATCACTTTATATCTGAAAGTTAAAATCATAGTTCTTAGCAAGAGTTTCTCTTTAGAAGGCACTGCAAAGAATAACAAAATTTATTTGCAAATAGAAAGCAACTTACCAGAAATTTTAAACACAAAGTTCAATGAATCCCCATAAATACCCCAAATGAGAAAACTTTTTATAAAATAATATGAAATATAGGATTTTAAGAAAAAAAATTGTTCTGATATTCAAATGTTAATTAGGGCAGTGGTAATAAATCAGTAGAAATGGCTCATCAACTGAAGCATTGATGTTTCACAAAATCCAGTGGGCCAGGGAGTGGGTTATGTGTGGAGGAGTCACCATGTTACTCTAAACCTCTGCTTAATCATCGTAATAAAACAGAGTAAACACAGATAGGTGTGGTGGAGCTAAGAATTTTCAGTAGATAAAATGCTATAATGGAAATGTCTTAAACAAACAAACAAAAAACCCCCCAAACACCTTATTTCACCATAGACAATTTTACTGCAAGGTAAAAGGACTTCTAACACTTTTTTTTCAAACCACTGAGAATATATGAAAATGAGTAGTACCGTTCAGAATAAAATCTTCGGTCAGTTGACAGGAGGTCATATAACTGCTGAATATGAGCAAGTCCCGGTAAAAAGATCAGCACTGCTCCTTCAATATTTCTGAATTGGGGACTTTTGTCTGAAATGTTCAAATACATAGGGAATTCAAAATAAGCGAGCTATGGAGCAGCATGTACAATATTATTAATAAAACATCTCCAGTTAAAAGAAAAGCTTTATCAAATCCAATGGTGCTACTTTAGGACTAAAAACATACCCAAATATGCCAGAAGTTCCAAAATGAGGTCCAGGTTGATCTTATGGGGATTCATGTAGAGAATGGCATGCTGCGTGCGGCTGCTGTACTTCTGGTAGAAGGGACTCAAATCTGCACTCACTCCAGTCTGCACTGGGATGTATTCCTTACAGAAAGAAACCACAGAAAGTTCAACAAAAGCAGTAAGTATTTTTATAAGAAAGAAAATGTTTCTTCAAATCTATGTTTTGAAATTTTTAATGTTAAAAATTAGCAAGAATGCAATTTTTAACAGTGGAAAATATTAACAGACATTTAAAACTCTCTATTAAATTTAACTCCACTTTGCCCCTTTTAAGTGTAGCCCAAACGCACATCCTAGATTAAAGAAGAGGAAAGAAGAACTATAACCTTAGATGTGCGATAAGCAGCCAGGCCCAAAGAGGAACCATGAGTTTATACCTGACTTGTTCTTTCTAGATTCTGCTTGTGGAGTTCCACTCCTGTCTATCTGGAAACTGATCAATTTCTGAAGATTTTCTTTAGTTTCTAATTTCCATCTTTGGAGATTCAGGGAAAGTTCTGCTTTTGTTTTCTTGTTTTATTTGGCTCAAAAAATTAAGTAACTTTAACTTTTGTTAAAGTTTACATCAGAACGAACATGTCTGAAATCTAAATATTGACACACTGAAAACGTTGGGTTTGGTACCGTTTTCAAACTGCAAACTCCCTGACATGGAGTCAGTTCGGACTCGTAGAGACCTGATAGGGCAGGGTAAACTGTCCTGTGGGTGTCCAAGACTGTACCTCTTTACAGGAACAGAAAGCCTCATCTCTCTCCTGAGGAGCTGCTGGTGGTTTTAAACCGCATGTTTGGTTAGCAGCCCAACGCCTAACCCAGAATGCCACTAATGCAGGTAACAGAGCGCCTGTGTCCTTTCTACCAAGATGTAATGAGAGTAACTTCCTTGGATTAACTGTCTGTCCCCGGACAGTTCAAGTGCAGTTGAGGTTGGGTCATAAAGGCCAGAGGCACTGAGAAAGCCCATGGCAAGGATTTAAGAGTTGAGGCCTGCTCCATCCTGAACACCTATACAGAGAAAATTATTACATACTTACTCCTTAATAATTAATTAGTGCTGTATTTTAACCAAGAGCCCTGGTCAGCGGAGTGGGTTGCGAACCACAAAGTCAGCAGTTTAAATCCACCAGCTGCTCCGTGGGAGAAAGATGGACTTTTCTACTCCTGTGAAGTCTTGGAAATCCACAGGGGGCAGTTCTACCCTGTCTTACAGGATCGCTATCAGTTGGAATTGACTCGACAGGGAGATGTTAATGATATTATTATAATAGTTAACTCTTAATTATGTGATCCTGGATTTTGTATGTGTTTTTATATGGCCTGGGATGGTGTAAGAAGACACCTAATGTATCACAAATCAGAGATCGTATCTACGAGGCAAACATCTGTTCATAATCTTATCTATTTCTCTTACACTGTCATTTTAAACCACATTATTTTAAAATTCTCATGGTAGGCTAATGCCCTGGAAAATCATTATTGCACACTGCATGTCTTCAAAATGTTTTCTTTTTACCTGATACTTTTTTATTCCCCCCGCTTTGCCGGTAACATTAATGGTGACTTCTTCTTCCTCCTCCAGAAATTTCTGGCAATATTCGGAGTCTTTCTCCAGCACAAAGCCTGTTTCCTCTATTATATCTTCGACATGAAAAACCTGCATGAAGATATATAAGTGGGTGAACCCAAATTCTTTTCAGTAATGATGATTTTCCGAAAAACAAGGGGATTATCACCATTTGGATGTCTCGGTTTTATTTGGCAATGAAGAATTTGGTCGACACAGGGTTTGCCCACAGAAGTCTTAGAACAAGTAACATCATGGATTGCCTTTTTAATGAGCGGGGGCTTCACAAAGTTTGGACAAAAATGGAATGAAAAGATATGGGAATTTTCCCACGAACTTTCTGAAGCCCCCTCATGCGTAAAGTGGTGAAAACAACAGTCTTCATCAGCTGAACCAAACGGGTAAGCACTGAGAACAGAAGGGGCAAAAAGCAACGCTGCTGAGGGACCACGCGAAATCGGGGGAGGAGGAGGAGGAGGAGGAGGAGGAGGAACCGGAGCTCTTGGTGGGAAGGCAGCCACTCTCAGTCTGGACACAGGCATGCAGATATGCAGTGCAGTTTAGTTCTATGGCCTCCAGGTTCCGTTCGGCAGAGCCTCCCCTACCTCCAGGCAGCACCAGCTGTCTGAGTGCCAAGGCTGTCAGGCTCGCCCTAGGTCTTCTCCTGATTTGGAGAGTTGTGGGTGTAATACAGTCTGCTGACGTGCCCTTGCTACAGGAAACTTACCTCAACAGGGTAACTTCTTCCTGAAATTCTGAGGATAGGGCAGTGTGTGAAATATGTGGAAAACTTGTCACTATCCACAGTAGCACTCATGAGAATCAAGTGGAGATCGGAACGTTTCTGTAAAATCTCCTTCAAGATAATCAGTAGGAAGTCTGATTGAACACTTCTTTCATGAACCTAGTGTAAAGGGAATACAAAAACATATAACCCACTCTTTACTGAAAGGTTAGGTTCCTTCTGAGATAATTGGTACTGTGTGAAAATGGAGGATGACCACTTTAGGTTACAAAATTACATAACAAATTACACCATAACGTAACTGCTAAATCACTGAGAATCATGACCTAGCCAAGCAGACACATAACGTATATACTTGAGTATAAGCCAACCCAAATATCAACCAAGGCACCCAATTTTACCACAAAAACTGGATAAAAATGTGCTGACACCATCCTGTGTGATCACGAGGTGTCCAAGGGATCAGGCATCAGCCATCAAAGAACAAAAAATCATATTACGGTGTGCTCACTTTCCTGATACGACTGCTGAAGACAAAGGTGTGCATAAAGAAATGTGGTGAAGAAAGCTGATGGTTCCCAGCTATCAAAAGATATAGGGTCTGGGGTCTTAAAGGCTTCAAGGTAAACAAGCAGCCACCTAGCTCAGAAACAACAACAAAGCCCACACAGAAAAAGCATACCAGCCCGTGTGATCACGAGGTGTCGAAGGGATCAGGTATCAGGCATCAAAGAACAAAAAATCATATCATTCTGAATGAAGGGGAGTGCAGAGTGGAGACCCAAAGCCCATCTGTAGGCAATTGGACATCCCCTTACAGAATGGTCTCGAGGAGGAGACGAGCCAGTCAGGGTGCAGGGTAGCAACAATGAAACATACAACTTTTCTAGTTCCTAAATGTTTCAAAATGCTCCCCCACACTATCATGATCCCAATTCTACCTTACAAATCCAGCTAGACCAGAGGATGTACACTGGTGGATAGGAACTGGAAGCACAGGGAATCCAGAACAGAAGATCCGTTCAGCACCAGTGGTGAGATTGGCGATACCAGGATGGTAGAGGGAGGGTGGGGTATAAAGGGGGAACCGATTACAAGGATCTACACATAACCTCCTCCCTGGGGGATGGACAACAGAAAAATGGATGAAAGGAGACGTCGGACAGTGTTAAGACATGACAAAATAATAATTTATAAATTATCAAGGGTTTAGGAGGGGGGGAGGAGTGGGAAGGGAGGGGGAAAAATGAGGAGCTAATACCTAGGGCTTAAGTAGAAAGCAAATGTTTTGAGAATGATGAAGGCAACAAATATACAATTTGATGTATGGATTGCTATAAGAGCTGTAAGAGCTCCAAATAACATGATTTATTTTTTAAAATGTGCTGAAAAACTTGGCTTATATACAAGTATATACGGTAGCTTTCATCATCAGTCATTGTTACCTTAACCTTGCACCTTGGTGTTCATTAATGCCAGATTAAACCCACAAATCCAAATTCCCTGCCATTGAGTCGATGCTAATGCATAGCGATCCTCTAGGACAAGGCAGAACTGCCGCTGTGAGTGTCGGAGCTGTTACTCTTTACCACAGTGGAAGCCCCATTTCCTCCACGGAGCTAGTTTTGAAGAGTTGGCCTTGCAGTTAGCAGCCCAACAAATAACCCTTCACATCATCCGAGCTGCTTTACGGTCAGATATACATCATTCACCATTAATGTGCATGAAAAGAAAGGCTAACCAGATAGCTGAATGAGTAGGTATAAAATATTAAAGAAACTAAAAAAGAAGTTAAATTATTCAACTGCTAGCTGGAAGTTTGGTGTTAAAACCCACCAGGCGACCTTCTCGAGAGCGAGAACTGGGGGATCCACTCCTGTAAGGAAACCAATCACCTGAGTGGTGCAACTTGACGGCCCAACAAGGAAGCTTAAGCATCCAGACACTAAAATCTATTCAAATTAACCCACATTCAAGCATTGTCAGTACATGATGTTGGGAGGGAGGAGAAATTTTTACATTAGGGCAGATCGTCCGAATTGAAAATGAAGTCATCCTGTAAAACAAGCAAGCAATCAGCACACAACGGACATGATTAGTCATGGTAGTAGGATGCATCCTTAGGAGGTGGCTTGCAATTGTGCTGCTGACAAGACAGGGCATTTCCCTAGTTTCTCATAGAAGCACGGAATGAGTCCTAACTCTGCTACTAACATGAAACTGCAGTCTCTTTCATGATGGAAGGTTTACTCATTGTGGAGAGGATGTGGAGAAGGTGAGTAGGAAGCTAACACTACCTAGGAAGAGGGTGTAGAAAGGGTACTCTGGCCTTCCAACACATGCATGTGGAAAGTGTACATGGGAAGAGTAAAACGATAAACAAGATAATTACAGCTTTTGTCAAGAGATCAAACAATGCATTGCGCTGGGTAAATCTGCTGTATAAGACCACTCTATAAAGTGCTGAAAAGCATAGCTATTACCTTGAATATTGAAGTATGCCTAACTCGAGCCAAGGTATTTCCAATGGCCTCATATGCATGCGAATGTTGGGCACTGAGTAGGGAAGCCCGAAGAACCAAACTGATGCATTTGAATTGTGGTGCTGAAGAAGAATATTGAAAGTACCCAGGACTGCCAAAAGAACAAACAAAAATTTCTTGGAAGAATAAAGCCAGAATGCTCCCTAGAGCATGGCAAGACTTCCTCTCATGTACACTGGACATGTCAGGAGAAACCGGTCACTAGAAAACGACATCATGCTTGGTGAGGTGGCGGCCGTGAAAAAGAGGAAGCTCTTCAACAAGATGGATTGACACCGTGGCTACATGGATGGGCTCAAACAAGAACACTTATGAGGGTGGCGCAGGACTGTCCTTTGTTCTGTTGTAAATGGAGTCGCTGTGAATCAGAACCAACTCAATGGTACCGACAACACCACAACACGGGGAACAGGATAAAAAAGCTGCTAATTGCAAGGTCAGCAGTTTGAAACTACCAGCTGCCACTAGCAAGTCAGGACTTTCTACTCTCGTAAAGAGTTACAGTCTTGGAAACTCACAGGGCTAGTTCTACCTTGTCCTACAGGGTTGGTATGAGTCAGCATTGACTCAATGGCAGTGAGTTTAGTTTTTGGTTATGACAAGGTAATACTAATGAATATGAAGGCAAGTACATGGCTTTCAGGAGGGTAGAGCCGACAGGATTTGGAGATTGGATTTTTAAGTGTGTGAGGCAAATAAGGGATAGATAATTATTGGACTGGCCAAGTGGTAGTGGGGCCATCACTGAACTTTGAGAGAAGAGGAGCAAGACATAAGGGACGAGTAGGAAGGAGAGGCATAGTTTAGAAAAACAGTGATTTTAGTTGTGAGAGTGAAGGGATCTCGAAGGCAGTTGAGCATTTATCAGTAAAGCTCAGGAAAGAGATCTCCTGATGGGAGATAGAGATCTGGCAATTCTCACTAAACAAGAGATATTTTATACAAATCAATTTTTTAAAAAAAGGAAATGGTAAGAACTGGGCATGAGACAAAGCTAATGAAACTCATTAACAATGTATTATTATATACAAAAATATTATCCCAATTCATTGCCACTGAGTTGATTCCAAGTCAAAATGGCTCTAGATAGGGTTTCCAAGTCTGCAAATCGTTATGGAAGCAGACAGCCTCGTCTTTTTCCTGTAGAGCACACAGTAGCTGGTGGGTTTGAATTGTCCACTTTGTGGCTAGCAGCCCAAAGGCTAACACATAAATAACACTACCAAGCTCCTCCTACTTGGTATACCAATAGCACGTTGCCCTCACATCAGTTCCAACCCATAGCAACCCTACAGGACAGAGCAGACCTGATTCTGAGGGTTTCTGAGGCCAGCAGTTTGAAACTACCAGCTTTATGTGGGGCTGTAAGTTGGAATTAGCTAAATGTCAGTGAGGTTTTTAAAAAATCAACAACCAAGATATATGGCGATTAGTTGTCTAATTGTTTATCTTACAAAGAACAAATACATTCTATATAATACATGAATATAAATAGTAACCATGTTTTGTGAATCTCAAATAGGGACACAAGATGTCAGAATATTTAAATTAAGAATGTTACCAAAAACTAGAATGCCAAAGAAATTATCTTAAACCTAAATTTGTTCAACAAGAAAGTAGTGAGTTAAATTGTAGGACATCCAAATTATGTACATACTACCATAAAGTCATTTAAAAATGTTTTTGCAGAATATCTAGTAAGTGAATGAATTATAAATAAAAATATGTATCCATATACAAACATATAATGCACAAAAATGGAAGGTGATACGATTAAATGGTAACACTCTTTTTCCCCCCATGGACAATGACATTATAGATCATTTCTGTTTTCAGTTCTCTACCATTCTATATTCTAGAGCTTTCTAATTTAATGAAAATAAAGTCTGTAATTAAAAACTAATGAATGACTGAATGCTTTTTACTTTCTGAACTTAATGAATTTAAAAAAAAATGTTACATCAGTGAAGTTAAAATGCAACTGAGTAACAGATGTTATATACTCCTATCTCCATGAAAACTTACTTATAGGGTGTGTGATTCTATGTGGAACGTTAAGCATAGTTTTAGTTACATGTTTGCTCAAATGTGATTCAAATAGAAGTGTGTCTACAGAGAAAATAAAAATTCTTCTCCTTTGGTTAGAATGAGAGAAGATCCTTTAAGAACTAAGTGTAAGTAGTTCAGAGACTGTGTAATGGTAAAGCACAGGCTGGAGCCAGATTCTGGTGTCTGACCCTAAGCTATAGAACTTACTGCCAGTGTAACATTGGCTGTTATTTGACCTCTCTCTGCTTCATTTTCATCTATTGTAAAATAGAGATAATATTATCTACTTTATAGTGTTGCTAGGTTTACATGAATGATATATACAAAATGCTTAGGAAAGTATCTTGTATATAACAAGTAATACATAATATTTACTAAATCAATCATAATAATGAGGCACCTGTTAGAGATTAAATTATTATATGTAAAGCAGCTGGCCTTCAGCAAGAACACACACACAAATGCTAGCTAGTATTAGCACCATTTTTTAAACACAAAAATATTTACATCTGGATGCAACTACAGAATCCACTCACCTCATCTACAATAACATGAGACACGTTTGTTAGAAGACCATCTTCTTGAAGTTTCCTGAGCAAAACTCCTGTCGTACAATAGAGTAATCTGGTAGAGTCACTAGCTCGAGACTCCATGCGGATCTGATAGCCACACAAGGAGTCCTGAAGGAGAACACAGGGCTGAGATTAGTTTCTCACAAGGGATCTGGGAAACAAACTTGAGTGTGTAAAGCCAATCTTGCTGATCTGTGGAGCAATCTAAGTAAATCTTTATGGTACAAATATTATAAAAAAATTTTTCATGGTCATCAGTTATAGAAAACTATAAATTTTATTTTGGTAATTTTAAACAAGAAAACCTCTTTGTTCCTTGTAAGATGTCTAGAATGGTATCAGTTTACATAGTGAATACCTGGTTTGCAGAAGGCTATGGATGACAGTAAACCCAAAATCGATTAGCAGGGTCCATATAGACAAAGCCTCTGGTCAGGTTCCTGAGCATAGTCAAGGACGACTAGCCTAGTTGTGAGACAGATTATCTTAAAATGTAGTATCTGAATTCCCTCTTGACCCATTTAAAAGTTGTTTTTTAAGTGAACAAGACTAAACTTCTGGTGAATTCCCACTGCAGTCATCCACAGTGCATCGGAAAGCAGTTGCTGGCAGATGTAGTCAGGCTAAAATTTAACACCTTATCATTTGATCTCTCCTTTGACCCACTTTCACATTGTTGCAGTTTTCAAGATTTTCTGCTTTTTCAATTGAGGTTTTTCCCCTATTCTATTACTGTTGTTAGCTTTTCTGTTTCTGTGTGTTTTCAGTATATGAGATCCAGGATGGGTGAATTTATAGAAACAGGAACTGGATTAATGGTTCCTTGGGGACATAGCAGGGGAGGCTGGGAGGAAATGGGGAGCTAACAACATGGAGTACAAGAAGAAAACGTCCTAAAATTGACTGTGGTAGGACTGTACAACTCTTTTTGATACAATTGAACTATTAAGTTATATGATATGTAGATTACATGCCAATAAAACTGTTTTAAAAGAAAGTGAAAATAAGAGGTTCTTCAGCTGTTTCAAGTGTTACTAAAATGATTAAAACCTCACTGCCGAGTCATGGAGCCCTGTTAGCGTAATGGGTTACACATTGAGCTGCTAACCACAAGGTCAGTGATTCAAACCCATCTTTCTCCTTAGGAGAAAGATGAGGCTGTCTACTCCTGTAAAGATTTAAAATTTCAGAAATCCAAGAGATGTTCTACTTTGACTCATATGAATCATAATTGACTGGATGACAGTGAATTTGGCTTATTTTTTCCCCCTCCTGAGTTGATTCTGAATCACGGTGGCCCTGAGGATGCAAATGTTAATGGGATGTAAATCTTTAGGGCTTCCAAGGATGTAAATCTTATGGGAGCATCTGTAGCACAGCTGGTGGGTTTGAACCACCAACTTGGGGGCTAGCAGCCCAACACTTAACCTACAGTGCTACCAGGGATCCTAATTAGGATTAGGAAACATTAATACAAACTGAATTAATTTACTCTCAAATTGTCTTGGAGTGAAATACTGAGTATCAGAAGCAAAACTTTTATAGTCTCTCCCACAACCTGGCCTACTCTCTTACCAAGATCTGGTAAGACTCGGCACGAGAGCAGCTGACAGACCAGTGATGCCTAATGGGAATCTTCAGCCACATCTGTTCCCAACACATTTTTTCATCCTCGCAGTTATTTCTGTTTGTGTACATGTCTATTATCCCCTTGGCCTAAGTCCTATTAAGGCAGAAGCTTTATCGAGAGCTGTAACCAACGTTATTACGGTTTAGGCTTAGCTAGTTTTGGGTTTTGCTTCCAAGGCAAAATGCAATAGAAATATTCCTGTCATTCCCTCTCTTTTTAAAATATGGGGTTTGAAAATAGTCTAGCATTTTCTTCAGTATTCTTTTTTCCTTCTACTCACTGAAAATGACAAAAAATCTTAGAAATACATCCCACAGAAAAAATTTGCTAAAGCTTCAGAAATGAGGGATTCAAATATGTATTTGTGCATTCTTTGAACATTCAAAGATGTATTATGTAGCATATTTGAATATTCATTTATTTAAATGATTTTTCAAAATCTTCTAAACAAGGATTTTAATGCCAGAAAATTGTGAATCCTTTTTTTCATCTGAAGGACTGTGACATAAAGAAAACATTTGCCGAGTAACTGGAAATGTGCTATTGAACAACCAGTGAAGAGTCCAAAGTCCTAGAATGCAGGCAACTGTGAGCAATGGGAGCAGCATCTTACCCTTCCTCCAGGGCCATTTTCACAGCCCAACTCTTCACACACTCTGGTGGCTAAGCTCACTGCAGAGATTCTTCTGGGCTGGGTACAGACAATGCTACATTTACTCGTTCCCCATTCATTTAGAAGCAAATCCTCCAGTAGAAAATGCGGCACTTGAGTACTTTTACCACTCCCTGTTTCACCTGCCACAACCACGACCCGGTGCCTCTTCAGAGTTTCAACAATCAAGTTCCGGTGTTTGAACACAGGCAACTGTTGCCTTTCCTTGAGAAGTCTCTGATACTTGGGTGTGCTTTGTAACTTCCTAAATAGGTTTCGGATAGGTTCCAAATCTTCAGCATTTGCAGAGTCCATGGACAGTGCAGAGAAATCCTCATCAGAAACTAAATTTTCCCAAGATTCTTCAGGATCGTTGGAATTTTCTCTCTTATTGTCAGAGTTCTGTTGTTGCTGCTGCTGTTTCAATTTATTCAGAAGTTTGGCAATAAAAAGGTCCCGTGGTTTATTGCTTTCCATTTTATTTAATTCTTCCTTTTTCTTTTCTGCATCACTCCACTCCAGCCAAACATCTCGGTAAGTAGGAGGAAGTAACTGGTGAACTGCCTGGAAGGAAAAAGAGTAACAGTACGTTATTTCCATGAGCTTTTTGGAAAGTATTTTCACAAACTATTGAATGGATCACGAGCTGCCAAAAGAACAAACAAATCTGTCTTGGAAGAAGCACAGGCAAAATGCTCCTGAGAGGTGAGGCTGGTGGGACCTGGCTTCACCATTTTGGACATGTTGTAGGACATCACGTCTGGTAAAGTAGAGGGCAGTAGAAAAGAGGAAGACCCTCAAAAAGATGGAGCGGTACGGGATCCAACAAGACAATGATTACGAGGATGGTGCAAGGCAGGGCAGTGTTCTGTTCTGTTGTACACTGCATCACTGTGAGTCAGACCAAACAACAATACTGGATACCAAAAGACTCAATAGGTAAGAACTTAGAAGAATAGTTACCTTCCTCTTAAAATGTAATTTGTATGTCTCTTAAAGTGGGAATTGCTATTTTAATATAAAAACTTTAACCTTAGTTCTGCATATGTAAAATGGGTATATTAACAGTACTAGAGGTATATGGTGAGGTTAAATCAGTGATTACACATTAAGTACTTACTCTTGGAACGCAGCAAACCATTGAATAAATGTTATTTTATTTTCGCAGTGGCGCTATTTAAGTATGCAGATGAACCACAAAAGCATTTCTAAGTCATACTGGAACCTTATTACAAAATTTCTTTTGCGATTCTGGCAATTGTTTAATGTTAAATAAACTGGATGAAATCCGAGCAGTCCTAATCCTGTGCTTCATGACCATGTCTCTAGCACTCATAGTCACTTCTATCAAGCAGTCTTATCTTACAGTCTCTTATTTTGGACAGTGAAGGAAATACAAACCTAACATTCTTTTACTGGCAGAAACTGGATTTCATGTTAGGACTTCCATTTAATCAGTGTCTAAAATGTTCAGCAGTTCTAATTTCCCACCTGAAAGATAACTTAGGAGGATAACTTTATTGTTAAAAAGGAAATGCTGACAATCCAAATGTTTCAATGCTAGCACTTATTCTCTTAGACAGCCCCTTTTCCAGTATTCCAGTATTTAGTATTTTTCTCACACTAGAAGTTTATAGTTTCCATTTAAAATGGAAACCCGTGTCTATGTTTTTTAAGAAGAAAATATAGAATTTAAGGTAAACAAACCTTTAAAAAGTTCTACATTCCAGCACCCTAGCACAACTTGCTCTTTAAAGGAGCCTTGGTGGCACAACGGCCACCCAGCTACTGCTACGGGACGACAGGTGGCCAGAGCCACCACAGCGTCTCAGGAGAGAGGGTGGGGGTCTGCTCTCGTGAAGGTCATGTCCTCCAAAAGCCTGCAGGATTATTTTCTGCTTTCTTTCGGAGAGATTTTTCTAGTTTGTTTTTGGTATCATTTTCTTTACATGAAATCCAGATTAGGTAAATCTATAAACAGTTACTAAACTAATAGCTTCTTGGGGTTACAGCAGGGGAGGTTGGTGGTGGAAGTGAGTACAAGAATGAAGAAAATGTTCTAGGATTGATGTGGTGAAGCTTCCACACTTCTCTTTAATATACGTAAGCCACTGAATTGTATAGTATGTGAATTATATACTAATAAAACAGTTATAAATGAAACAAACCTCCAATCCCTATACGACAATTTTACTGTCACATGAGCACTGCTATGAGTTAAAATCATTTGCCAATACCTTACAACTATTTTGAATCTACAAATTAAGTCAGCCTGAAAAGCTGGACCAATCAAATTATCTATTTCCAACCTCCAGTCCACAAGGGAGAGAAAAGCTGAGCTATGTTCAGAGGTGACAGGAAGCCGACATTTTGAGACAAGCTATGCATAAAAAGAAACTTGGCACAGGAAGCCAGTATCAAAAACTACCTCCACATGCAGATAGCATTCTCTCCCCAAATACATACAGTACCCTCAATAACCCCCAAGGAACTGTTGCAGCACGTATCTGTAAGACGTCTCACCTGCCCTTTCACTAAGCGATAAAGGGCTAGAGTAGCTCCCAGGTGCTGAGCTTGCATGCCATCCTCTGTCAAAATGGTAGGACATGCTACCAGGACATCATCATCAGATTTGATTACTCTCACCCTACAAAAAGGCAAAAATAAAATTTAAATAACATTGATAATGTAAGAAAAGTAAGTCTTAATATTGAACTTAAATTTACACTAAACCTTTGAAGTGTTTCCATGGAAAGTATCTTACTGAAAATTTATAAGCACTATCAACCTGTGGAGGGACCCCTGGTTGGCAGCATTGGGCTGCTAACCGCAAGGTCAGCAGTTTGAAACCACCAGCTGCTCTTTGGAAGAAAGAGAGGGCTGTCAAGAGTTACAGTCTTGGAAACTCATGGGGGCAATTCCACCCTGTCCTATAAGGTTACTCTGAGTCCAAATGGACTTAGTGGCAGTGAGTGAGATCAATATGAGGTGTGAAAGCGAGGGCTTTCTCCCGTCCTCCAAATTAAAAAAAAAAAAAATCAAAACCAGGTGTTTATCATGAGCCAGATGTTTCTCAGTCACTAAAAGACCTTATAGAAAACACCGCGTGCATCAAAGTCCTAGCTCGTCTGACTTGAGCATCATTTACGGTGGGCCACAATCCCGAGTTTACACCAGCAGGAGCTCCATATGGAGTACCAGAGATTACCCACAGGTAATTACCTGGGCAAATGTAGAAATGTACTCAACAAGTCTACCTTATTTATCGGCCATGCTGACGTCTAGAAATCAAAGGTATGCAAGAGAATTTATTTAGTTTTGTGAAGCTTGACTTTCACAACAATACATACCCATGCATAAGGAATGCTTACTGGATTTCCACAAACTGCCTTGAATAAAATACATTAAATGGCTGTTACGAGACTCTCAGAAAAATTGAGAATTTATGGGGTTTCAGGATTTGCATAATCACTTCAAAGTGGTATAACCAAAGAACAAGATTTTTTCACAGCTCTAAAAAGAGAATTGCAATTGCTAGTCAAAGACTTTTCCTGTGCTGTACTTATTTTTTCCTCTATTGTCTACTTTGTACTGACATTTTTCTGATCTGAATTTAGGTTACATATAATACTCTTTTGTGTTATCTCCTACCTCCACCAAAGGGTCACCTGTTTTCACCATGGCTTTGTTCTACATTCAGCTATATTCTAGTAACCATGTGAATAAGAAGTTTTAAGATAACTAAGTAATAGAGCCATTATTTCACTGATCTGCAGCCAATCTCAGGAAAATCACTTCCCCAAGCAATAAATTCTGCCTGATAAAGTCCATCTTTCCCTAAATAAAAACTATAAGGAAAGTGAAATTATAGGAAACCTCTGGAAAAGTTTACTAGAAAATGTGTGCTTTAAGTAGGTCAACACTGGTAATACTTGATAATCAAGAGTAATTGGTAGGCTAACATTTAAAAATATACATTAGTAGGTATGAAGAATATATATGATTAAGTGAGCTTGTGGAGAAGTTGACTCAGATACATAAATTAGAACATATAATTGTCCATCTAAATTTTTTTTAATAGAATACTTCATTAAAGTTGCTTAACATACAGTATCTTACTTGTCATTTTGGAAGTCTTTTTAAAAAACAATTCCTTTGTCTGATGACAAACGGCAGCCACACTCTCAGTGAGTATTCTGGGCTTTTCTGTCAGATAAATTAACTTCTTCTAGAGACATGTCTTCTTTTGCATTTCTGAGGCACTGGCTGGTGCTATATCTGATACAGATGTGGTGCTTTATTTCCCATAGAACGCTATGACATGGCAGAAGAACACAAGGGCATTCCCGCTGACCTCAAAGCTTCTGAAACTTAGGGTTGTCAGTTCTATTGGGGAACCTTATTAATAATAGTGTATATGGCTGAATGACCCTGATGGCGGATGTCATCTTGCTGCTCATTATGAGCCCCTACGTAGCAGCAGCTCTTGGGGCTCCTGTGAGCTGTGGCAATCAAGGGAGCTTTTTAATACGTCTATTTTGTTGAGTGCCATCCAGTGCATTCTGACCCACAGCTATCCTTTAAGACGGAGAACTTGCCTACAGTTCCCTGGGCTGTAATCATTACTAGGTCTTTTCTCCCGCAGGACTGGTGGCTGGTGGGTTCCCATTGCCACCCTAATGGTTAGCAGTTAGTTACTTAATTCACAGGAAACAGATTAGTTCTGTTATACAGAAAAAACATACCTACATTTCCAGTATCTACCTACTGGAACTTTTTCAAAGGAAGGATTTGGACTCTTGGGAAGATTCTTCCTCACCCAATCAATCAGAAATTGTTTGGGAGATTTTCCAGTCCAGCTGCGAGCTGTATAGTCAAAATTCCTTACATCATGAGGTTCTTTCTTCTTATCTAGGAAGGGAGAAAAAGATTGAATCTTTATAACATCAAATCTGTTTAGAGTCATCAGTCTCTTCCCTTTTGGGAACAGTAATTTTAGAAGCAGATAAAAAAGCCTGCTCTTCTATACATAATGTAAGGAAATCCTTTTGCTGGACAGAAGCACAGAAAACCCTGAAACTTTCAAAATGTAATTATTTTGAGGAGGTCATGATTTTTTATAAAACATCTAAGATATTATCCATGCAACTCATTACTTAGAATATTCTGAATTATGTATGGTATGTTATCTGGCAGGTAGTAGAATCTTTTGCAAAATATCAACCAGGTGTCATTTATCAGTGTGTCCAGCTGCCACTAACTACACCATAGCCTCTTCATCTTCAATGGCTTCCTAGTGCATAGAAAGTCCAAATTCCTTTCCACTGCCATGGTTCATCTCTGCCTATTTCCTGCCACTCTTCCATGCTCATTCTGCTGTAGCCACTGAGCACCAGGCAATTCTTCAAATGCTCTAAGCCTGCCAGGTCCAATATAGTAGCCACTAAGCAGAGGAAGCTATTTAAATAGCAACATTCAGTTTCTTATTTGCATGACTCACATTTCAAAGTACCCAGTATTCACATATGACTGACTAGTGGCTACCACTTTGGGCGGTGCAGAAACAGAACATCTCCATCATTGCAGAATGTGTTGCTCACTGCTCTGCCCCACCTTAGAATCCCAATGGACCATCACTTCTTGGAAGGCTTTTCCCACCACTAGTAACAGATCTGTCAGGTCTCAAGGCAAACACCTTCATCAGCAGGATCTCCCTCAACTAAATTAGGCCTTGCTAATTTCTATTTTAGAAACTATCTCACTTTCCCTACTAAATTCTACACTTGAAGTGGACAGAAACTATCTTATTTTTCATTATTGTAAAATACCACAGGAAACGATATTTAATAATGTTCAATAACTTTGTTGAAAGAATGAAAACTAAAACTATATTATTACTATCATGTTCACCTTCTAGACTTTTCGTAGGCAGCTACCACACAAGGCATCAGGTTGAAGCCCTGGTGGTGTAGTGGTTACACACTGGACTGCGATTAGGGCCAGCAGTTTGAAACGCTCAGTCACTTCGATGGAAAAAGATGAGGTTTCTACTCTGTCAAGAGTTACAATCTTGGAAATCCACGCGGACTGTTCTATCCTGTCTTGTAGGGTCACCATGAGTCAGCAGTTGAGTTTTTGAGACTACCACAAACTCATAAAAGAATGGACTCATTAATGTCTGATTAGACTAACTATACTCTCATTTTTAAAAATTATCTTATTATCTGACATTTCACATTTACAACAGCAAAAATCTACTATCTGCTTATTTTTCACATTTAATGATGAAAGTCTGACAGTAGGGAACACCGAGGTGCAAGGCAAGAATAATGCTGTTAGTGATGGTTGAGGTTATGTGTTAACTTGCTGGGCTATGATCTGCAATGGCCTGGCAGTTATGTAATAATGTAATCATTCCCCATTTTGGGATAGGGTCAGCCTCCATTTTTACATGCTCCTGATTTTCATATAATGACTTGGTCTTTGGAACCTAACCATATTGGTGAATAGAGAGTGTACATTAAAGTCTGATAAGCATCACATTAACTTTTATTAATAATCTACTTGGACAAGCAGACAAAGAGGCATACCACTACTTACATCTGGTGGCAGGACAACAGAGAAGGAAGGCTTACAGTAGGGGTGCTGTTTGAGCTGAGCCTTGAAGGAGGAAAAAGTTGGCCAACTGGGGTAACAGGTTGAGCAAAACCATAGCGTCATTAAGTGACATGCTTAAAAGGATGGCAGGTCTGGAGTATATAGTTAGGAAGAGTTGGCAATAGGATGGAAGGTCTTGAATGACATCCAAAAGGGAGTGAATCTGTTAGTGACCTCATTGGGCTTCATCCCACTGAAGGTTTTAACAGAAGACTCACATTTAGCTGTCATAGAATGATAACTGGCAGGAATTATGGAGACTGCGCTGAAGAAAAATGAGGTTGAGGCATGATATTGAAATAACAAAATGCTGGACATGATTGTTATTACTTTCCTAAGACAGCATGTGGAAACCCAACATTACCCCCCATCTTATGTAACTCTCCATAACACAAGTAATGTTCATCTCACAATTATAAGTGGTGTCAAATATTCATGGAAAAATGGAATTAACAGGCAATGGCATTTTTCCACAGATTTTGAAGGCCCTTCACATAGAAAACCTACGAATTATACCGGGTACCAATTTCCTTTTACTTTACCTTTCTGTTCTTCAGGAGCTGTTGTAGATTTTTCAAATAAATTAAAGTTCAAAGCACTTCCCCCTTCAGTAGCCAAAGGAGGCTTTTTCTTCTCATTCTGCTGATGTGAAACCTTTATGGATGGATTGAATACTGGATGGTCTTCTAAAGTTTCCATTTCTGCCAAAAAATGAGTTTTTGTTTGTTTGTTTAAATTGATTTCTTATGCTTTTCTGTTTTGGAAAGTTTTTTTTTTTTTTTTTCCCCACAAACATTTATAATTTCTTCTTTTTCCTTGAAGGAATTTACACTGGAAGTCAGAGGCAATTGGTTAACTTTCACAACATATGCCAAATTATAATACGTTATTTAACATATGTAATAGCCTAGAACATTGGTTCTCAACCTTCCTAATGCTGCAACCCTGTAATACAGTTCCCCATGTTGTGGTGACCCCCCGCCAAACATAAAATTATTTTCATTGCTACTTGTAATTTTGCTATGTTATAAATCGGGTGACCCCTGTGAAAGGGTCGTTTAACCCTCAAGGGGTCGCAACCCAAAGGTTGAGAACCGCTGGCCTAGAGGAACATCTTCATTAGAAATTTAGGTATTCCTGGAATTGCATCAATCAGGGGCTGGCAAGCTGCAGTCAGCCTGCAGGCCAAATGCAACCCTCTGCCAGGTTTCCCCTGGCTGGAGAATGAACTGCTTTGGTAGAAACAATAGGAACCAAAGAGGCAGATTCCACCCCAGGAAGGGCAACAAGGAGAGGGCAATTATACTTACATATCTACAAATTTGAAAGTGCTTACCTCGTTGAAATCTCCTTATTTTTTCTTGAGCCTCTTTTTGGCCTGCTTTGTCTTTTTCTAGTTTGAAAGCAGCTGCTTGCTCCTTTGCATCCAAAAGTTTCGCTGCAAAGTGCAAGTACCTTTCATTCTGTTCCATATGATGAGGAAGAAAAGAGAACAATTACGTCGTTTTTCAGTATATTAAAATCTTTGATCCTCCTGTACCTCTATAATCAACTGATTTTAACAAAGATGCTCTGTCCAAGCAGCAGGGAAAAAGTAGTCTCTTCAACAAAGGGGGCTAGGACAACTGGATTTCTAGTACAAACGAAAAAATCTGGACCCATACCTCACACCACATAGGAAAATTCACTCAATATGGAACAAGGATCTAAATGCAGCAAATGAAGCTACAAGATACAAGAATTCACAGGGCTAAAGTTTCAAGACCTAATAGATTTTTCAAATAAGACTAGACACGGACAGTGAAAGACAAAATAAATGGAACCTTATCAAAACTAAAAATCTATGTTCATCCAGCATTTTTTCAACAAAGTGAAGCGACAACCTCCAAAGTGGGGAAAAAAACCATGGAGGGGGGATCATCTCGTGATGAAATGTTTAATATCCAGGATATAAGCAGAACTACTAAAACTTAACAACAAAAACAGCAAACAACTCAATTTAAAAACCAAAGGATTAGAATAGATTATTTGTCTAAAGAATAGCTCCAAATTGCCAGCAAGCCCATGAAAAAGTACTCAGTGCCTCCTGCAACTGTCCTTTGGTGCTGTCCACTTAGTGCTGCCGCACAGCTGCCCTGGCACAACAGAACAAAGCGCTCCCTCCCTGCCTCTGCGCCCTCCGCCCAATCTCAGCCACGCGGGACCCTTCATTCCGACCACTGTCAATTCATTTTGTTGAGGGCCGTTCTCTTTTTTGTTGCTGCTCTACTTTACTAATCATCATGTCCTTCTCCAGGGGCTGTCCCTCTCTATAACACATGTAAAGTAACTGAGATGAAATCTTTATTTCTAGGGGCCTTTGCCATTAGAGAAATGCAACTGGAAACCATCATGAGAAGATTAAGAAACAGGAAGTGTTGAGGATGTGGGGAATTGGGACCCTTCACCTATTGCTTCACTAGGTCTGATTTACTTACACTAAACTGTACCCATTTTATATGGTCAGGTCATGAATTTGATAAATGTTTATGTCCAATTAAACATGAAAGTTACGATACAGGGCATTTTCACCATTTTAAAAAGTTCCTTTTCAACCTTTTAGAGTTCATCTCTGCCCCGCTCTGAGACACAGCAACCACTGATTTGCTTTCCGTTATCTTCTAATTCCATTTTCCATGAACTTTTTGAAGCCCCTTCAGTTTCCATGATGGATATATGCAATATTATGCCACACTGTGTTTATCAATCCACCTGTTGGCAGACATTTTTGTTTTCAGTTCTTGCTTATTGTGAATAAAGTTGCCCTGCACATTTGTCTTTTTGGTAAACATGTTCCTGAATGATAACTATAAACCGAATGGATAATCTTATAACAGGCACATATTTAACTTGGTCACATAGTCAGTTTTCCAAAATGGCTTCACTATTTCTTACAAGCACTATATGAGGAGTATTCCAGTTCACAACTTCTTTAATACAAGGTCTGAGCTTTTTAGTCATTTTAAAGGATATAGTGGTATTTCTTTATAGTTTCAATTCTCTGATCACTAGTGATGTTAAATATTTTGGATGTGTTACTGGCCATCTATATATCTACTTTTGTGAAATAACTGTCGTTTTTTTAAAAGTTCTTCAATTAGATAAACTGGGTACATAAATAAATGTGGTGAAGAAAGCTGATGGTGTCTGGTAATCAAAAGATATAGTGCCTGGGATCTTAAAAGCTTGAAGATAAATAAGCGGCCATCTAGCTGAGAAGCAACAAAGCCCACATGGAAGCAGCACACCAGCCTGTGTGATCATGAGATGTCAATGGGATCAGGTATCAGGCATCTAAGACCCAGAACAAAATCATACCCAATGTGAGTTGGGGGTCGGAGAGCATGGAGAGGGGACCCAATGCCCATCTGTAGACAACTGGACATCCCCTCACAGAGGGGTCACAGGGAAAAGATGAGCCAGTCAGGATGCAGTAGAACACTGATGAAACACACAACTTTCCTCTAGCTCTTTGCTGCTTCCTTCCCCACCACTATCACGACCCCAATTCTGCTTTACAAATCAGATTAGACCAGAACATGCACACTGCTACAGTAAGAGCCCGAAACTTGGGGAATCCAAGATAGATAAACCCCTCAGGGCCAACAATGAGAGTGGAGATACCAGGAGGATTAGGGGAGGGTGGGGGGAAAAAGGGGAAATGGATCACAAGGATCAAGCTATAACCCCCTCCCAGGGGGACGAATAATGGAAAAGTGGGTGAGGGGTGACAGGACGACATATGATTTGAAAACAATAATCTATAACTTATCAAGAGTTCATGAGGAAGGGCGGGGAGAGGCGGAGGATGAAATGGGGAGCTGATATCGGGTTCAAGTGGGAAGAGAATACTTTGAAAATGATGATGGCAGCATATGTGCCAATGTGCTTGATACACTGGATGAATGTATGGATTGTGATGCGATGTTAAGAGCCCCCAATAAAAGTATTTAAAAAAAAGTTCTTAAATTAATTCTGGGTGGAAGTCCTTTGTCTGATACATGTATTACAAGTATCTTATTTCTATAACTTAGTAGTATTATCTTCTACATAATATTTTTAGTTGATCATATGATGCTTATGTTTTCTTTCTCTAGACTATGGACTTCCTTTATAGAGGGTGCCTATTTTTTATTTCTGAAAATATTTAGTATACTCCTTATACAGAATAGTTATTCAATACCTGTTTAACAGAATTACTTCTCTAAGTAAGTATGGGAGAAGCATAACTAATACCTACTCAGAAGTTAGTCTGTGCTAAATTCTTTCACATTATCTTGTTTAATCGTCATATCATCCTCAAGAGTTCTTTTGCTAATTTACATAAGGAAACTAAGTTTCCAGAAAAATTAAATATCTTGTCTAGGAATAGCCAGCCTCATACAAATTTCTACTCACAGGGTCAAACTTTTCCTCCTCTTCTAAACTTTTAGAATTCTCACTCTTTTCTTCTTCATTTTCTTGTTCAGCATACCTCAATATCCATTCTTTCATATTAACTTCCATATTTTTTTCTTCCTTTTTTGGCTAGAAAGAGAAAACAATTATCTGAAAAAACCAAAGTTAGAAAAGATGTCACTACTATCAAGTGTCATTGCATTTCTAAGTTCTTTACACCTGAAGACAGCAGACACAGAAGTGCCAATCGCCTAAATCATATTCATGTTCAGTGAAGAACCAATGAATTCAACTCAACATTATTTTAAGAAGCCCAAATATATTTACATAAAGAGGCAGAAAAGAATGAAAAGAGAACTGTTAAAAAATGGCTTTATGAGGATGATGCCTCCACAGATGTATAATATTCAGAGTATTTAAGTATTATGCCTAATGAACCATACCTCCTAGTAATGACACAATTCTCCAATCCCCTGCCACAATGAAATTACACTTGGCCATGTGATTTGCTTCAAGTGATGGCTTAGCAAGAGTCATATATGCCAAGGAGTAATGAGAATTTATACCTTGGGGCTTATCATCTTGAAATAGTTGCTCTTGGATGGTAGATGTCACGTAAGAAGCCCAATCTACCTGAGGTTACCATATTGCACAGGAACCAAAGCTAGTCCCATGGAAAGACCAAAGGGAAAAGGTGAGATATGGCCGCCGCCCACCAGCTCTCAAGCCATCAACACCCAAGATACTATTCATGTGAGTTAACAGCCATTATGGATATCCTAGAGCCAGCAGAAACGCCATGTGAACAGAAGAACTGCCCAGCTAAACTTAGCTCAGATTGCAGAATTATAAGAACCACTACATTTGGGGTTGGCTTGCTATACAACAGATAAAAACATAATGATTGAAGTTTTACAGCAATGAGCTATTTTTAAGAAGTAAATATGTTATCTGTTGTGTGCCAGAGTTCATTCCGACTTCAGACTGATCCTTTGGACAGACTGAATAAGTATGGAGGAAAGCGGTCATCTTTCCCACAGGGCTTCCTAGGCTGTAATCTTTACAGAATCAGATTGCCAGTCCTTTTCTCTGACAGAGCAACTGGTAGACTCTAACTATTCTGATCTTTTGGTTGGCAGTCATATCCTTAACCTCAGTGCCACCAGGGCTCCTAAAAAAGGTAACAGCAATGAAATAGGTATACTCATGTGTCGGGGGAGATCAGCCCCTAACAAATATCATGGGTTTGTAGGTGAAACTGTACACTTACAATACATAGATTATAGTCAAGTCACAGAGAATAGGAAAGGTAAGAGAAAAGATAAAATGAAGGAGTTACACATTTCATGGTAGCATGCTCATCTCAGCCCCTCTTTGTGGTCCACGTGAAGGTAGGGAAGAAGAGAGGAGGCAAGAAGTCTATTTCTAACCAAGGTTTTTATATCCTTAGGGAGCATGTAAGCCCCTGATTACAGATGACCACATACGCAACAGGAAGGGGTTGTACCATAGGTAATACATGCAATAGGAGGGGGATGATCTAGGGGTGTACACGCAATAGGAAGGGGAGGGATTAGGGGTACACATGTGACAAGATGGGCACACCATAGACTCAATATGGCAGACTAAACTTGGTCCTCCTTGAGTGGACTGGACCTTGCCTCTGGGCTCTCTTCAAGGGAACAATCCACTACCCTCATCAGAAGGGAGTGGGCCCTATTTAGGGTTGGACAGACTATGCAATCTGATTGCTCTAAACGGCTGTCAATCCTTAGGGAGAATAACCTCTGACAGGCTTGCATTGACCTCCAAGTATACAGTCCTTTACCATGTGTAGCCAGCAGCATCTTAGGTTTGGCATATATTTGGGGGAGACAACCTGGGGAGAAATCTTTCTGTATCCCACACTCATGAACTGCTATGTTTAATCCTTACATTACCTTAATCTTAGAATCTTCTTCCTGTTTTTTGGCTTTAGGTTGCACTTGAGGTGAAATAATGGCTTGTATTTGAGGAGACTGGAATTTTGGCCTACTTCTAGGTTGTTCCTCTTCAAACTCCTGACTGAATCCTTCAGGAAGTGCATCTTAAAATAAAAGAAGTTAGGTTAAACAAACATGCATATGATCTGTAACACATAAATATTTGCTAGGCATATATATAAACCAAGAGCAAAGAACAATAGAATTAATACAAGAAATATAAATGGCAAATGTAATTACATTAATCTCACCAGTAGCTAGTAAGGTATAAATGAGCTTAGAAGTTAAAATGTGAAAAATTAAAACACTAACATGCTAGTTTTACCAAGATAATAGATAATAAGAAAGACATTACATATTGTAAGAAAGAGGGGGGATTGACCATTTAATTGGCTAATTAAAAGGTAAACTGGTAAATGTGGGATGCAAAAGGTTTTTTCCCCGTTTGTTTCCCTCAAATATATGCCAAATCTAGGATGCTGCTTGCATCACGTGGTAAATGCCTGTCTACTCGGAGGTCAACACAAGCTCAGTTTAATCTCCCTGTGGGTTATCAGCCATCTAGAGCAATCACACTAGAGTCTGTCCCACCCTACGAAGGGCCCACTCCCTTCTGATAAGGATAGTGGATTGCTTCCTTAAAGAGCCCAGAGACCAGGCTGAGCTCACTCAAGGATCAAGGTTAGCCTGTCATTTTGAGTCTAGAGTCTGCCCATCTTTTCACATGTGTACCCCTAGTTCCTCCCCTTCCTATTGTGTGTACGCCCCTAGCTCATCCCCTTCCTGTCGGGCATATGCCTATTTACAGCCATTTCCTGTAACATATGTGGCTACCTGGAATCACAGGGGCGGGGTGGGTGGTGGTGGTGGTGTTTCTGTCTCTTCCTCCTGCTCTCTACGTGGACCTGGCTGCAGAAATCATAGCTGTCCAGGAGGTGAACATGCTACCATAAAATGTGTCTTACTCCTTTGTTTTTTCTTCTCTCCTACCTCTATTTTCTTTCTTAAATCATTTTATTAGGGGGCTCACACAATTCTTATCACAATCCATACATACATCAACTGTGTAAAGCACATTTGTACATTTATTGCCCTCATCATTCTCAAAACATTTGTTCTCTACTTAAGCCCCTGGCATCAGCTCATTTTCCCCATCCCTCCCGGTTCCCCACTCCTTCAAAACCCTTGGTAATTTATAAATTATTTTGTCACATCTTGTACTCTCCGACATCTCCCTTCAGCCACTTTTCTGTTTTCCATCCCCCAAGGAGGAGGTTATATGTAGATCCTTGTAATTGTTCCCCCTTTCCAACCCCTTTCCTTTACCCTCTCTGTATAGCCACTTTCACCACTGGTCCTGAAGGGATCAACAGCCCTGGATTCCCTGTGTTTCCAGTTCCTATCTGTACTACTGTACATCCTCTGGTCTAGCCAGA